AAAATTCTCGTTTATAACTCCTTCTATTAGTAAAAACCTGACTTTATTTTAACCCAAAATCTATGTAAATTAACTCAGAAGACTAATATTGATATTTCTAACAAGAATATATTGATATAAAAAATGCTACATTGTCGTTCATTACAAAGTGGGTAAGTCACTAATTGCCTCAGAATATACCGATAAGAATAAGCTTCTTATCAGTAAAATTCAGATCTCTTGAAACCTCAATAAAATAAGGAACTGACTTGAATATCCTGAGCTATTTATCCAAACTAGTATTCTGCCAGTGGTCAAAATTCAAAATTAATCATTTTTTTATTGATAATACTAAAACTCGTCAATAGCTTCTAAACTAAACAAAAAAAGAAACTTTGTTAAGAGACAGAGGAGGAAGAGTTACTGAAATGTTTTAATTTTACTTAGCTATATAAAATAATGATGATTTTAATTTTACTTCTTACTATTTTGTATTATTATCATTTTTTTTGTATTATGACATTTATCTATGATTATTATTAATATTATTTAAAATTTTTGTATTTTTAATTCATTAATATTTAAATGCTATTATTGAACATCTTGGAAATTATTTATCTACGAGTATACTAATATTATAAGCAGGAAAGATTTATTTGTTTGTAACGACTAAGCTCCGAATCTACTGAACCGATTTAGATGAAATTTGGTAAAAAAATAGTTTGAGACTCTGGGAAGGACATTGTTTTGTTTTTATTTCGAAAACCATCCTTTAAGGGGGTGAAAATAGGATGAAAGTTTGTTTGAGGAATCAATTGTATTATGAAATAAAATTTCTTTATTTAAAGTAAAACATGAGGGTAACTACTATAGAAAAGGTAAATCTAAAAAGATATTTCACGAAAAAATAACAATAATCATATATATAAAAACAAATTGCTACGTACATACATTCATTTATTCTGTTATTTTATTAATTCGTTGAGTTTCTTCAATTAAACCGTGTACTGTGTCAAAGAAAAACTATGCATTATATATATATATATATATATATATATATATATATGTGTGTATATATATATGTATATATATATATATATATATATATATATGTGTGTATATATATATATATATATATATATATATATATATATATATATATATATATATATATATATATGAAACATTAATTATCCTATAACGCGTTCGGAACACTCTCGCCGTATGTTTTAATACTTTTCTAACTACCACTTATCTGTAGCTACTGCTAATTAACTATGGCGTTTATATAACATCCAATTAATCCTACTGATATTACTGAGCACAAATACATTGAAATAGTCTGTAATACTCAAGCCTTAATATATAATATTTATGTCTGTCTGTTTGTGTCAAACTCTGCAATGAAACGTTGGAGCTTTCGCTGGTAAAGAATTTGATGGAAATTTCCACAGACTAACACATGTCCCGGAAAAATTGCCTTACATTTTCCTTTCCTTTTCACGGAATAGAGATAGATATTTAAAGAATATTGAACATTGTAGTATAAAATAAAATGACAAATGCTTTAGATATTGTTAAGATAAAGCAAACACAAAAATATAGATAACCAACCATTTGCCAAAAACCTCGTATATTACGAACGAAAAATTCAATTTTACTATACACGAGCTAACTGATAAGTTATTTAATATGAAATAAATATTGACACAATTTGCAATAAAATCAACTTATTCGATTTCAAGCTTTTACCGAAAATACAATAATTTAATGAACATAACTCCATTATGAGCTACTGGTTCGCATCCAATTCGATTATTGATGGATACGATGCTTATCGAATCGGGGGAAACTAAAATGTTGAAATATTTATAGAAAACAAAACCTGAATCGCTGCTAAAATTACTTTTTTAACCGACTTCCAAAAAGGAGGAGGTTCTCAATTCGTTGGAACCCTTTTTTATGTATGTTCACCGATTATTCGAAGATGCCTGAACCGATTTGGATTTTTTTTCGTTTCAAAGGGTATATATACTTCGCAGGTCCAGCCCACAATATTTTAAAATATGAATATCTAATAGGTATATATGTATTTTACGTATCGAAATATATTAGATTTACTTTGCATTGGCTGGCACCGACTTGGAAAATATCTGATTAGGTATGGTATCCTAAATGAAACCCCCGTTTAGTTATTTTTTACACTTTAGTGCCTGGAAGTCGGTTTTTTTTAAGTTTTTATTCATAATAAATATTATGATGAGCTTCTGACGTAGTAGTTCGGCCGTCTTGGTCGGAAGTCATGGGTTCGAAATTATTTATATATATATATATCCAGACATGAAGCGTAATTTCGATCGCACAATACTCCAAAAAGGCTAGATTTCAATTGAAATTTTCTAAAAAAATATTTCCATAAAAAATTGGGCCATTTATTACCTTGTACCTTACTATGCTCTTTGGAATAGCTTGAAAAATGTACTAAAATCTTTAGACCATGTCGTGTAATTTTATCGGATCTTAAAAAATATTAGATAGCAACACTGACAAAACATAAATGAATTAAAGTCTTTGGTTTTAAATTTTAAATACCTAATTGAGCTAATTAACTTCTAAAAAGAGTCTACATATATTTATTCATTTTATTTTTGTGTACTTTTTCAAACTTATGTTAAAAATCTATGATCCAACATCAATCAACAAAAAATCATCATAAAATATTTTTAAAGCACACACTACCCATTTTATCTTTTAATTACTTTGTACTCCTTCGGAAAACTCTGTGCGAAAATGAACTTTAAGATTTTCATAATAGGGAATAACGTTATCGCAATTACAACATCTGTCATATTATTTATTTTAACTAACTTGGAATGAATTCAACTGCTGGTCTACTTTTGCACCTTTTGTAAAAATATTTTTTCCCATGTATATGAGTACGAATATGTTCGATATAGGAGCTCTCTCGATTGATGCGAGTATTTTCAGCGAAAATTGTGTAGGAGACCAATTTTATACTATAAATAGCTTTTGCCCGCTGCTCTATTCTCGTAGTTTATTTATGTATTGCTAGAAAACCTATAACTACTCTCAATAAATCCATACTTTGTTATTGTTATTATTAATACTATAAATATGAAAGTGTGTTTGTTTGTTTGTTTGTCCTTCTTTCACATCAAAACACAGTGTCCGATTAGCGTGTTTTTTTGTGTGGAGACAGTTGCAGTGCTGGAGAGTGACATAGGCTATTTTTTACTTCGGGAGATTATCTCATTTCCACGGAAAACACCTTGTAATACAACCCAAAAAATATTTATGATAAGAAGAATCTGTATAATTTTTTTGTTTCTTAAATGTAATTAATGGTTTTTCCCACAGTTGTGGTACAATAAATCGACGTGATTTCGTAGAGATTTTTGTAAGCTCCATAGTAAAATTGGCATTTTATTCCAGAAGATTAAATTCCGGTACATTAGTATTTTTACTTTTTAAGCAAAACCTAGGTTACTGATTGTTGCTGAATATTTCTTTTCTTTACATGAGATACAATAAATATAACACATTATATTTTTCTGACATTTAAAACTTGAAAATTAATACCGTGATACCTTTATAATGTCATATACATATTTTGACGACACGTTTTAATCAGTTTGTAGAGACCCTACTTGCCGTGCCAGCGGTCGCGGGTTTGAGTCCCACTGGACATTCATTTGTGTGATGAGCACGAATGTTTGTACTCCAGTCATGGGTGCTTATATTTATAATTTGTATGTATTTAAAGTTATATATGTGTAGTGTATCAACTATCTGGTATCCATAACACAAGTCTCGTAGCTTACCATGGTACTAGATGGTGCTGTGTGTTAATATCATAATTAATAAGTTATATAATATAATAATTAATAAGTAATAAATAATAATTAATCACTTTTATTGCGGCCAGCCTTGTAAATTAATAAAATATCATTAGGAAATAGTTCTTCAAAGGTTTTTTTAAATAAAAGAAACATTGTTACCGTAAAGAATACAAAGGGTTCAAGAATAAATCCTTGTCGAACACCCAATTGTAAAGTAAAACCAGACGAGACAAGTGAATGTACCGAAGAGCTTAGTTTTCTTTAGCACACAATCTTTTAAAATTTGAAAAGGTTTTATTGAAAATAAAACAATCTAAAATATTTAATTTAGCAGATTGCATTGATTTGTTAATAAAACTTAGAAGTTGAAAACAAAAGTTTTATCTCTTTGAGCTGGAATTGGTTTTTATCTATAGCGGAAGGCTTTTTCGTTATATATTGCTATTAAGTTCACTTTAAATTTATTCTATGGTTGATTCTTGATTCGATCAATGGTATTTGATATTACACTTAATTCTTAACTACACGTTACATATTTTAAGTTCCAGCTTTATAAACCATACTAATATTACAAATATGAAAGTTTGTAAGGACTAAGGATGGATGTTTGATACTCTTTAACGCCAGAACGGCTGAACGGATCTGGATGAAATTTGGCACAGAGATAGATTACAGTATGGAAAAGCATATAGTTTACTCTTTATTCCGGAAAAATGTACGGTTCCCGTGGGATAGATTTGTTTTTATCTAAGAAAAAACCCGAAGCGAAGCAAGGGTGAGTCGCTAGTATTCAAATATGAGATAGTTCGTGATCTCCTAGAAATTAATTATCAATATCTAAATAATCGCTTATAGCTATATACGCAGTAGAGACCTACTTTAGCATTTATAATATTAATAACAATTAAGTATGGTATTACTAAATCATACCATTAATAAAATCGTTGCCATATTTCCGTCCCTTTTAAACTAACTTTGAATTACTTGCATGCTTTTCTTACATATTAACAAGGGTGAAATTCCTTTAACACGCCTTTAGACAAAAACATACTTTATTCAAATAGAATTAAAGTATAAAATTGAAAAGAATATAATCTAAATGGTCATTATTTGTAGTATAAATTCTATGTAAGTGTAAATAAAGTTGATATTTGCACGTACCTTTGAAGGAGGCCATCTTTGTAGCCCGCTGTTCTCATTTATCAAGATGTGTCAGCCTCTAATTATACGATGAACATCGCAAGACGTTTGCTTTACCTGAAAAGAATTATTGAGTTTAATTTGACATTCAGTCTGAGTGAGGTAATGGGAAAATACGATGGTGGGAACAACATAAAGAATCATAAAGGCTTAATATCGTTTTTAAATTTTAAAACTGCAAATTTTAAGTTAAAAAAAGCTTGAAAAGCGGTGAAAGCTTCCTGACTTCTATACATAGAAAAATGTTTGTTTAGAAGTATATTTAAGTATAATATATTTTGAGTTTGAGTTTCGGTTTAAGGTTAGGAGTTTTGTCGTTAGAGTAAACTAAGATTTGATATTGAGACGCCGTATTTATGAATCGCAGTTATGAAACCTCGAGTAATTATGTAATACGTATACCTATCAAAATATGTATGTCGATTTTAATACCTATGAAAATGATTATTTACCAAAAAAATATGTACTGTGCTGAAAGAGATTTTGTAAATTTGTAATTTTTTATACTTCAAAATATATCTGTATTAAAATTTACTTAAAATGTAACATGTAGGTACTTCGATGTACACAAATGTACAAAATGAACTCGCTACGAGACTTTTTGGGAACAAAAAGAGCTTTGTTGCTTTTATGCAGCTTTTTTACTTTTAATTAAATTACTTTTACTTATATTGTGCTTTTAAGATAGTTTTCAAGAAGAGGTTCGAAAAAGAAAATTGATGTGGAGAAATACACTTACATACGTACGTTGCATAAAAAACCATTTTGGCTTTACCTTAGAGATTGCTAACATAAAAGATATGCTGAATTTTAATATAAATTTTGAACAATAATCAGATAAATATACACGAAAAACCAAACACTATTAGTATATGAGTTTTTACAGAATAAAATCTATACTAATATTATAAAGAGGATTTTTTTGTTTGTTTGAATCGAATAAGCTCCGAAGCTACTGAACCGATTTAGATGAAATTTAGTAAGAACATATTTTGAGACCCTGGAAAGAACTGATGATAAGTTTATATCCTAAAAATCATCCCTTAAGGGAGTGAAAATGGGGATGTAAGTTTGTATGGGGAAGCAAGCTAGGGCGAACCTGAGCTAAGCTAGGGTGAGTAGTAAATTACTTATATAAAATTCATAAATGTTAGTCACTAATAATAAGAAATAACTCACAAATATAAAAATTGCGACGTTTCGAGGGAAATCACAAAAAAGCCTTTCATACAAACCTTGTCCTAACAATTAAGAATACAACGAAAAAATCAGCCAAATCTGTGGAGTCGTACTCAGATTCTCCGTCGTACATGTAGCAATTGATTTTTATACATTATGTAAATTACCGTTTTAAGCGAGGAGTGAATTGTGAGATATGGATGGTAAAAATTTATGATATCCTCAACATTAAAAGGAAACTGAAAATTTTGTACTTCATCTCTGTTTTTAGTAATATCAAATCAAATTATACTTTATTCAAAAAGACTTTTACAAGCACTTTTAAATCATTTAATAAATTTTAAATTTTAGATTTTAAATGTCAGTATGTAAGTCTGTGAGGTAGCTACCACCAGCTCGGAAGGCAGTTCCGCTGAGATGATCCTCATCAGTCAGCGAGAAACTCAACAGTTGCCTATTTTAAACATAATAATAATAATTAACAATTACTACATAGTATAAAACAAAGTCGCTTCCCGCTGTCTGTCCCTAAGTATGCTTAGATCTTTAAAACTACGCAACGGATTTTGGTACGGGTTTTGTAATAAATAGAGTGATTTAAGAGGAAGGTTTTAGTATATAATTTGTTAAATTTTTGTGTACATTGGCTAAAATATAACGATATTTTTAGGGGGAGTCGGAAAAAATAAGCCGTCTGGGAGCTTTCAACGAAAACGCTGCCTAAACCCTTTGAGATATAACAAAATAATGTATGGTGGAATTGTGTATCTTATATAGATCTACAGAAAAGTCTGCGATGGCATATGTCTATCTCTTAAGGATAACATACTATATCCATTTTAATTTAAAACGTACCTAGTAATATCAATACAATAATTATGTTATTATCCTACGTGAGTATTAATTATTAGTAAACCCACATTCGCATCAGAAAAGTATTCCGCGACGGAATCATTTACAATTTGCATTCATAAAACAACGGTTGAATTATTTTACATTTACTATAACACATTCACAAAATATTTTCTTATACGAAATCAAATACCAAATAAACAAGCAGCAATACTAAAATTGTGGTAAGTAAGGTAAAGACAAGTGGTAATCATGTTGGAAATAATTCGCACATGAAAATATCAGAGGTGAGAGATTTGGGATTTGAACCCGCTTCAATCGGTTTCCCAAGCGAGCGCGTTATCACTAGGCTACCACTACCACGCATGTCATATATATATATATATATATATATATATATATATATATATATATATATATATATATATATATATATATTTTTATAATATAAGCGAGCAAACGAGCAGGCGGGTCTCCTGAATGTTAAGAGATTACCGCCGCCCATGAACATTTGTAGCACCAGAGGCACCACTAATGCGTTTGGCTTTTCAGGACTTTATTGGTCCGCCACCTTGAATAACCCGAAAATCCCCCTCATGTTGTAGTCAAGCGGGAACACAGTCGAAGGGAGTTGGTTGGTTCCAGTGCAGTTGGTAGTGCGTGGAAAAAATGATTGATGCCACACGCCACAGCGGACAGTCGAAGTGCTCCAGGTACCCAGGTGTGAGTGAGGGAAATTGCTTTCGGTGGCGTGCGGTGCGGTTGTAGAAGAGAGAGGGTGGAATAAGGTCAAATAGCTCTTCAGAACACTTCCCCGTTATATAGCCGATAGAATAACGCAAAGAGAGCTTACGTCTCTGCGGTGTTCCAGGCTTTCCCAATGAACTTGTTAATTTGGGATCGTCCACAAACCGTACGTACTGCCCTCTTTGAATCCGGTTCAAATGGGTAGGAGTCCGGTCAAATGGATACTGGATATAGTTTGATATACTATATATATATGTAAATTACTTTGGGGGGGGGGTATTCATTCGGGGTTGTTCTCATCTATAAATAAAAAGCTAGTCGAGTATAGGTACATGTAATTCAATTTAGGGCTTAATGATAAAATTACTTTTTTGATGAACAAAAATAAATTAGTAGAGTTATTTTTGCGTGTATAAACCAAGCTCCAGTGGCGCAATTGGTTAGCGCACAGTACTTATAAAACAGTGTTCGTGTGAGACATGCCGGGGTTGTGAGTTCGAGCCTCACCTGGAGCAATATTGTATACTCAAATATCAATAAATTATCTCCATACTTATCTATATATCTGTATTAATATTATAAATGTGAAAGTTTGTGAGTATGGATGTTTGTTACTCTTTCACGCCAGAACGGCTGAACGGATCTGGATGAAATTTGGCAGAGATAGATTATAGTCTGGAATAGCACTTTTTTTACGGTTCCCGTGGGATAAATTTATTTTTATCTAGAAACGAAACTGAAGCGAAGTGAGGATGAATCGTTTGTTTATCTATATAATGAAAATTTATACCTTATTTATATTTATAACTATGTTATAATATACAACAAATGAGATGAGTATTTATAAAAATTGGACGACTACTTTGTTCTGTGTAAGTTCTTTGTTCAAGATCTATATAATATTTGTAAATATTCTTATAAAAAAATAATTCTAAAGCTGTAAAAAATTTTACTCAAACGTCCCTTACAGCAGTAATAAAAGTACAGTTTAATTTAAAATGACTGCCGCGGTGGTCTAATAACAATCATATATAGCTATATATCTGGATGTCCTGGATTCGACTCGCGTTTCGGACTTTTTGGCTTATTGAGTTTTGCTGTGTCGAAAATTTAAAAATATTCTGGAGTTAGAAAGTTGCCTTTGTTACACCCCCGTGCTTCCGGGAGAACGTAAAGCCATCTGTTCTACGCTTATGAAATCATTTCATAGGATTTTGATATTTAAAGTAATAGAGAGTGCTCTCATGCGCTATAGTATCTCCCGCGCAGTTGGCTAGTCTTCGTGAGATTGTATTATATTCAGCCCTTTTCTTAATGTCCCACTGCTGGGCCATAGTCCACCACGCGGGTTGTCGGACTTCACATGTCTTCGAAAACTTGCTAGGTTCTCTCAGACATGCAGGTTTTATCACAATGTTTTCCTTCACCGTAAAGCAAGTGGTAATCATATTAGAAATGATTCGCATATAAACATTTCAGAGGTGCGAGATCCGGGATTTGAACCCGCTTCTCGTGATTTCCCAAACAACTGCGTTACCGCTGGGCTATTGCTATTTAATTAGATGGACCTTGGCTGAAAGTGGTCTAAATAAAATTTTAGATTAATGCTATTTTCTATACAAAATTCTAAGAATGTCTTACTGAGCCAACAAACTTGTTGTAATCTTGAATTATATAAGTAACATTTCATTAAAACCGTGCCGTACAGAGCGTCCAAAAGGAATACGCATACATACATTCGAAAAAAAATCTATTATTATAAATATTTTTACTATAGTAAAAACAACTTTAACTGTTTTAATAAACAACTTTCATCCATCCATGCACAGTCCCCATATAAAAGGCAGTCTTGAAAATTGTAAAATATCATTGTGTAGTCTCATCTCACTTTTCTTAAAGCGTGTTTTTGATGCTTTCAACGGGAACGCGTCTACTATAATGAACCCTTTTGTGAAGGGTAAACATTTTTTCTCGAGAAAGCTTCGCGTGAGCATTTTTATACAGCGATTACACCACATTTTTTGGGAAGTACTGACTTGATGCAAACTGAGTACTTGGTTACAATACTGTATAATATTTGTTCAAAATTTTATGCATTTATCTACATTTGGAAGTGGAAATAACCATATATTACTATATTTTACAAATAACTTCGATGTAAGTATCAAATATTTTAATGTACGGAAATTTGAAATTAGA